CTCCCGTTTGGTTCCACCTCCAGTTTTGTTCCCTCCCCCCGTTAGGTTCCATCTCCCGTTAGGTTCCATCTCCCGTTAGGTTCCATCTCCCGTTAGGTTCCATCTCCCGTTAGGTTCCATCCTCCCGTTAGGTTCCATCTCCCGTTAGGTTCCATCTCCCGTTAGGTTCCACCTTCAAGATGTAAATCATATAACGGGTTTAGACTCATTTACCCCAGGGCGTAGTTCCGGAGCTGTCGATCTGGAATCGGTGGGCTGAGCTGGAGTCAAGCTGCGATGTTTTCCTACTCGACGGTCCTTGCACATAGGGGTCCCCCTGGCCAAATGGAGAGTAATCCGTGGCCACCTGATGTCTCTCAGATCGGCTTTAACAAGGACGGGACTAGCGCACGTTGACGGCATCAGGTGCTGCATGGAAATTAATTACTACATCCACCAGATACAACCCTGTGTCTACTGGATCCACTGGATACAGCCCTCTATTTACTACATCCACCAGATACAACACTGTGTCTACTGGATCCACTGGATACATCCCTCTATTTACTACATCCACCAGATACAACCCTGTGTCTACTGGATCCACTGGATACAGCCCTCTATTTACTTCATCCACCAGATACAACACTGTGTCTACTGGATCCACTGGACATAATCCTCTATTTACTTCATCCAACAGAGACAACACTATATCTACTACATCCACTAGATTACTAGATGCAACCATCTTTATACCACATCTCTCTCTCCCGCCCGCCCCCAATAGATATCTATTTTCTGTTTTCCTAATCTGACACTCCGTCCGCTCATTCATGCGCCAAATGACATCCATGCGCCATGGCATTCGTGCGCCATATCTTGATGAGCAATATGACATTCATTCGCCATGACATTCATTCGACATGACATTCATTCGCCATGACATCCATACACCATATGACATCCATATGCCATATGACATGCACACGCCATATGACATACATACGCCATATGAGATCCATACGTCAAATGACATTGTTGCGATCTCCGAGGAAAAACATAATTTACCCTGGCAAACAAAATCTAAGCACCGCCTTTTTTTTGTGTGTTTTTTTTTTTAAATACTCGGCAATCAAAGCGTTTCCGGTTAGGAATTTCGTTGTTTGACAAACATTCCATTTTTTTACCCGTATAAAAAAAAATCGCCCCTCCCCCAATGTCTGAAATTCTAGCCTAATTTAAAATCTTTATAGTGCAGCACTATAGGGATTTTGCGAGGGTGGTGGCGTGGCATGTGGGGGGAGAGGGTCGGGGGTTAATAGCCCAGCGCGCCAAATCCTTGGAGTGAAACAGTTCCTAGACTCCCCACTGGCATGGACAGCTATAAATACCTCATCGGCTTCAGGGACAAGTCACTTCAAGATTTCTACCAGTATCTTTTTCTTTTCTGTTTTATTATTTTTTTTATTATGTGACCGGACCGAGGATACTTCTCACCTAGGAAATTTTCCGTGTCGTTTTAGAATGGTGATAAGCTATAGGTGGGTAGTGCGTGTGTCATGATGGTGGTGCGCCAAAGATGTGTACATTATCATTCAGCGACATACTTTGTAGATTCGGGGCATGGAAAATCGGATCGTGGATGTAAATTCTTTTAAATCTCAAACAGCCGTTTCCGATTTAGTCTCAGTTTTAGGACCACTGATTTAGTCTTAATTGGTGGTCCCCTGGTTTAGGTAAAACATTACACCCCCCCCCCGCCCCCAAGATTTCCGAATTGTACGTCAAACACAAAATGCGTCAATTTCCATGCAAAATATGTGTACCATTATTTACTTTTTTGGGGACAGGGCACTTAAAGGCGGGCTTTGCCCCGGGCGCTGCTTTCACTTGACACGCCCCTGTTCTGAATCTCAAGAATGGCTGCTTCTCCCATTCCAATTTACAGCTAGAGCATGCGTCCTACAGAAAGGGGCTTCAATAAAGTGGTGTAAGCTAGGAATGTGCTAAGATAACACGGGACATCATCATCATCTAAAAATAAGTTCAAAACCTCTTTGGTCATCGTCATGTTTAGCTATAATCCATTGACCTCACCGACAGGTGATCTGTTATTACTCCTAAACTGGTTAACTTCTGAATGCCGTTGTGGGGGGGGGGGGCAAAAACCACGCAACCTCACTTAAGTTACGCCCCCTTATTTTTTTAAAATGTATTTATTTTTTTTTATATCGTGAAATAACAAGCTTATATACTATATTTCTAACACGATGAAACAAACAAAACAAAGTATGTTCATTATCTACATAGAAATCAGATATCAAGCGCTATCAAAAAGATAAATGTCTCTTACAAACAGTCCCACCACTTGCCCATTGCAGTGTTATCTTGTCGCGGGCCACGAAACGACTCATCGCCTCGGGCTACAACAACACAGTGACACGGCTGCTGAGCACACGACTGTGTCGCCAAGCTCCAGGTGTGCTGTCGTCTGTCGTGCGAGGTGCCAAGGCCACCAGGTGAGTACTACACGGGCGCGAACTCGATATATAATCCCAACAGCGACTTGCTTTGTCGGTTGTAATATCCTACTGAAACTCGCTTAGGGCCGACAGCAAGATGTGAAGTGAATGTAATCTTGCTTACTTTGTAGGTGAAGGGTTTGAAAAGATATAACTTGAATATCTAACCCTGACTACGGAAATTATATCAGGCTCTCTTGTAATTAAGGTTTCGAACCCGGGGCCCCGCACGATTTTTAGCAACGACTTGACGGTTGTCCCATCCCGGGAGATTGCCCCATCCCGGGAGATCGCCTTAAATTAACCAGCTTGATCCGCCACTGTAATTTTTTTTTTAAGCATAGGCAAATAGGTTGCTTTTTTCCTTCTTCGTTTTTTTAAATCCCTTACATTCAAAAGGGGGGAGGGTGCTAAATTGAACATAAACATGAGGTTCAGTGTTCAAATATTAACTTTAAGTCTCAAATTTGACGCATTGGCTAAGTATACTAGTAAGCTGAATTTCAATGAATATAACATGTCCCTTTCGTTTCACGTAAAGTAAATGTTTCACATAAAGTATCGTATCGCCTTGCGCGAAATGTTTGTTGGTTGTTTGTAGCACGATTATAGCGGGCGGGGCTCTGGGGTGCCCATGAATGTTAAAAATAAAAAAAAATAACTAAATAGGCAAATGCCATTTCCAGTTTGAAAACATGTTTTCAACATAATCTCAGGAATTTGTCGTGAATTAATTTTTATTATGAAAGTATACAGTGCTGTTCCCCAATTAGCAGGCAATATTCGACTGGGGTAGTAGCCTGGACTTGAGGTGCGTTTTGTTTAAAGTGAGGGAAGGTTGCTCAATTCGTCAGCCTCACTCTCTCGTCCTTGCCTATTTGATACATTGGCAAGACTTAGTCAAGACGACTAGTGGAAATAGACCAGGATGCTGAAGATGACCAGCAGTGTGTGTGTGTTTTTTCTACTTTCCACGTGGTAGAAGTTGTAATTGTTCATTGTGTCAGTACCATACCGCCCACGAAACTCACATCTCCGTGGTTTGATTTCAGAATTTGCCTTCTCCTAGATGAGTTGCCATCCAAGGTTAACGCGCCCCATCAACCCGGGGCAACCCGTCTAGAAACGTTATCTGGGGATTGCGTTATCTGGGGATTGAGCTTCCAGTCCACTAGCTTGGGATCGGCTCAGGTTCGACCGCTCGGCCACCCAGCACCCATCCAAAGTCAACAGTAATGAAGCCTTAAAGTTGTATGCCTCTTATCAATTCTTTTTTTTTCTTTTTCTTCAAACAGTGGTTTGCTTTACGTGAGTAGGAGCTTCAGGGTGACGCCCCCACAACGAATCCACCAAGAGGGGCCGTACGGAGACCCCAAGACCACGATGGATTCCGGAAAATCCCCAACCACCCCTTCGACAATCACTCGGGCGGTAGGCGGGAAAGAAACCGGTTTCGGTCAGGTTCTCCTAGAAGGGGGCCTTTCGGGTGACAAGGGATGTGGTGATCCATCACAGGTGACCGCCCTTGAAGTCGAGGGCGCGATAAACGACGAGAATTCCGGAAACGCGTCGGCTGAGAATTCGCCCGCGGACGCCGGGCATGGTGACGTCACATCGCTTGCAGAATCGGAGTTCGTGACCGGAACTGTGAGTCCGATTGCAGACTTTGAATCTCAGCAGACCGGACCCGTGGACGGCGATACGGGAAACCAAACGCAAGATTCGGAAAACCGAACACCGCCACCGGGTGAGATCTCAACAAAATTCAGATATCAACTTAAGACATCGCCCACGAATGCAGACACAACCCAGAATCGGACCGGAAGCGATATTCACACACTGACCGAGAATTTAAGGACAAGTTTCGGGGACAACTTCGGAATGTTTAAATGTCCGTTCTCCGACCAAGCCCTTCGGACAGCCGATGAGAAATCCGAACGGGCGCTGATTCCCGGGAGGATCAGCTCGAACTCGGGGACGGTCTCAGAAATTTCCGAAACACCGCCTCACAACACCTGCGGCGCAACAGAACAAGATAATTCATCGGGAACGAGCCTGGTGGGGGTGGGTCGTCATGAGCTTTCAGAAAGCAAGATGGCCGCGGACTCCGCTTCCGACAAAGGTTGGCGCAATGGAGATGGAGATATCGTAGTCGTGACCGGCGGTAACGGGTTTTTCGGTCAGCATATTGTCAAGATGCTTCACCTGCGGGCCCCCCATGTGAGCGAGATCTGGGTTCTGGACATCGCACCATTTGAGCAAAAACTAGGTGAGTCCATCTTTCTGTAGTCGTTGGCAAATCTCAAGGTATCGAGATTAAACGTTAATGTTTTCACACGTATGGATACCGCTCGTAGCACTGCTTTTTAAACTGATCGATTCACACGTATGGATATCGCTCTTAGCACTGCTTTTTTTAACTGATCGATTCACACGTATGGATACCGCTCGTAGCACTGCTTTTTAAACTGATCGATTCACACGTATGGATATCGCTCTTAGCACTGCCTTTTTTAAATTGATCGATTCACACGTATGGATATCGCTCTTAGCACTGCTTTTTTTTAAACTAATCGATATTTAAAATAAAATTTCAAAAAAAGATGCGGTTTAATCTATCTATGGAACTGAAATCGAACAATCAATTTCAGATTCTATTGACATTGATTCTTACATGGGATTATAAAATATATTTAGTAATCAATACAAAAAAAGGTGGGGGGAAATGTGTAAGGTCTAAATATAAATAATAAAAGCCATGTTTACCAACATATTTCAGACTTAGGGTCTAAATATAAATAAATGAAAGCCATGTTTACCAAAATATTTCAGATTTTGGGTCTAAATATAAAGGAATGAAAGCCATGTTATGTATACCAACATATTTCAGATTATGAAACCCATGTTTACCAACATATATTTCAGACTATCAACCAACCAAGAAGGTCAAATCGATCATCGGCGATGTAACTGACGCAAGGTTCACGGCCTACTTACTGCGGGGGGCGACCTCAGTCATTCACGTGGCCGGAATCATGAGTTGGGGAACGTTTCCAGACATGGACGGCATGGAAAAGGTCAACGTCAAAGGTCAGTTCATTGACGTACTGGCGTCAAAGCGTTTTGTAAAGAGGACAGGACAGCGCGTCCTTCCATAATCATCCCATTTAAGGCATGAAACTGGATTCAGGGAACAAAAAATGTTTTGGAAGGTTCACTGAAGACTCTTTAGACCGCCCATAAGTATAGTTACCACAATGCAAAGATCTCATAAAGTACACTGTAGGACACAGGTCCGAAGCTTTGTACCCGTCTCAAACAAAATTTAACAAACGGTATCTATACATCAAGTATAGTTTGGTGATATTGTTTATCCGCCTCAAGGAAATAGAACCGAACTGATTGTATTCACCTCTCCTTGTATCTCACTAAAAGCAGGGGGAAAAATTAGTGCGACTGCAGTACTCATCTCATCATGAGGAGAATAGAAAGGCCCCGGACACTAGCGACGCGGGCTTGTTCAAACCAAACGATCAATGAACCTTCTGAGACTTTTCTGAAACCCATGTAAAGAACTCTTTACAACTTTTTTTTCTTTTTTTGCAGGGACCCTGAACGTGCTGAACGCTTGCCTCAAGAACAGCGTCAAGCGGCTCGTATACTGCAGCACCGTCGACGTGGCCGTAGGCAGCCAGCCAATCAGAGGAGGGGACGAAACGAACACGCGCGTGCCCGACAAGTTCCTGTTCCCGGGTTATCCCGACACGAAGTATCACGGGGAGAGACTCATCCTGGGGTCCGGGCGCCCGAAGAGAGCCGACGGTCAGTTTATTTTATTGAATAGGTTAAGGGCTGGACATGACGTCTCCGGAAGGGGGGGGAGGCGCGTCATCAAATGGCATCACTCATGCTGAACAGTCCAACAACGTAAATGTTAAAAAAAAAATGACGTGCAGCTGACTCACAAAATCAACCCCCCCCCTCCCCACCCACACTTTTTCCGTCTTTTCCACACACAAAACTTTCCGGACAATTGACATCGCGATGTAAGAAATTGCAGAACGTTGCATGAAACTTTTGACATGGCACTTCAAACAAATGTTTGCAACTCCCAAATAAAAAAAAAATGACGTGCCGCTGACTCACAACACCAACCCCCCCCCTCCCCACCCACACTTTTTCCGTCTTTTCCACACACAAAACTTTCCGGACAATTGACATCGCGATGTAAGAAATTGAAGAACGTTGCATGAAACTTTTGACATGGAACTTCAAACAAATGTTTGCAACTCCCAAAGATGCTTTAAAAAAAAAAACGTTATCAGACTCCCCCACACCACAGTAGTGCCTTCGTGCTAATGCGCATGCGTTGGTAGCAGCCGCGAGTTTGAATAGTCAAGTCGCATGATATTTAACTGAGCTTCCCGTGATGCCTTCTTCTCCAGGGGGCCAACTGCAGACGGCGGTCCTCCGCGCCAACGTGTGTTATGGAGAGCTTGACCAATCCTATGTGACCAACGCTTTGCGGATGGCTGAACAGAACAAGGGAGTGCTCTACCAGGTATATGTCTACTTAACACCATGCAAGGCTCAACACTGAACAATATCAGTGGCAAGGAGATACGAACGGCCCAGTTGTAACAGGGACACCCCTCTTACAGGGCATATTTTAAAAGGGGACAAACCTCTCCCAACTGACCGGTTATAACAGGGAAACCCATCCGAAGGGCACGGTTATAAAAGGGGATCCCCTCCCGAAGTTTCAGTTCTAACAGGGACAAACCTTCGAATGTCCCAGTTAAAAATAGGGACAAACCTTCAAATGGTCAGGTTAAAATAGGGACAAACCTTCGAATGGTCCAGTTAAAAATAGGGACAAACATTCGAATGTCCCATTTAAAATTAGGGACAAACCTTCAAATGGTCCAGTTAAAATAGGGACAAACCTTCGAATGTCCCAGCTAAAAATAGGGACAAACCTTCGAATGGTCCAGTTAAAATAGGGACAAACCTTCAAATGGTCCAGTTCTAACAGGGACAAACCTTCAAATGTCCCAGTTAAAAATAGGGAAAAACCTTCGAATGGTCCAGTTCTAAAAGGGACACACCTTCAAATGGTCCAGTTCTAAAAGGGACAAACCTTCGAATGGTCCAGTTCTAAAAGGGACGACCCCCTCCCCCCACCCCCCCATATAGATCGAGTGCTACAAAGGACACCCTTCCCAAAAGGTCCGGCTATAGCAGGGACATCATTTCTAATGGACCAGATTTAAAGGGGCCAGATATAAAGGAAACCAGTTCTGAAAATCCATTATAGCTGCACATGGCCCCCAGCATAAAAAAGGGGCTCAAAGGCCAGTGAGAAGGAGATTGTAGGCCCTAAAATAATATGATGCTTCAGGTGGGTAAACAAGAGGGCAGGATCTTCACTGAATAGCACATCCCCCATTTTTTGAGAACCACTGTTTACAGTGACATAGTGTGAGGGTGGGATAATAAAAAATGGCCATAAGGTATGAAGCCTATAATATTTTCACTGGTCAAAACACACTAGCTCTCCAACAAAATTATTTATTATCAGATATAGATTAAGAGAGACACAGTTCATTTTTAGTAACATGAGTTTCTTGAAGTAATTTAAATTGCAGTTAGTCACAAATCAAATTATTCCACACAAAAAAAAAAACTCCACCCCAAAGACACAAAAACACTGAAGATAATTATTTAATTTCACACTCCTTAACAAGAGATCTATGTCTCTAAACTTCTTTCAGGTCGGAGATGGCTCTGCCATGTTCCAGCAGGCTTACGTGGGCAACACAGCCTGGGCGTTCGTGTGTGCCGATTCCGCGATGAGGGAGAACCCAGAGCTCAGCAATGAAATCTTCTACATCCCAGACAACACCCCCATCCAGAACAGCTTCAACTTCATAAGGCCCTACCTGGAGGCCCGGGGGTTCCAGCTCTCACCTAGACCCATCAACTTCTCTCTGCTCCACGGAGCGGTGTCACTGGCTGAGGTCTTCGTGAAAGGGCTGTCTCCGCTCGTAAGGCTGAGTCTGCCTTTCCAGTCATACACCCTCGCTTACATCAACACAGATCTCTACTTTAATGGCTCCAAGGCCAGGAGGGTGCTGAATTTTGAGCCTATTTATTCCCCCAACGAGGCCAGGGCGGCATCGATGATTTACTATAAAACCGTTGATTTAGACGGAGGTCCTACAACGTGAAGAAATTCAAATTTAACATGTGACTACTTGGTGGTTTGTAAGAGATGCCCGGCTACTGCTGTCTTTAAGTCGGATTACTTATTGTTAACAGACTGCATGATTTTTGGCTCCTGTCTCAGCATTCGATGTTATTTCTTGCATATTTAAAGAAAAAAAAAATTATTATATGTCGGCCTTTGAATTTTGTTCTTCCATTTAAAAAATCTATAACCATTTTTATATTCAGCCAGTACACCCGGCATTGCTCTGGTCTGTAGTTGGAAAAAACAGCCAAAGGGTTTTCAGCCTCTCAAAGTACCAATCAAAATTTAAAATGTTCTCTTTTAAAAAAAAAAAAAAAAAAAAAAAAAAAAAAAAAAAAAAAAAAAAAAAAAAAAAAAAAAAAAAAAAATGAATTTTAATAATCCAAAAAAAAAATCTATAACCATTTTTATATTCAGCCAGTACACCCGGCATTGCTCTGGTCTGTAGTTGGAAAAAACAGACAAAGGGTTTTCAGCCTCTCAAAGTACCAATCAAAATTTAAAATGTTCTCTTTTAAAAAAAAAAAAAAAAAAAAAAAAAAAAAAAAAAAAACAAAAACAAAAAAAAAAAACAAAAAAAAATAAAAAAAATCAATTTAAAAAAAAAAAAAAAAAAAAAAAAAAAAAAAAAAAGGAGGACCAGATTTATAACAAATCTTGTTAACATTGAATTTAGGCAAGAGTGAAAAAACAATGATTTAAAGATCAAGTTTAAGTCTTAAAAGTTGTCCTATTAAAAAAAAATGTCACCACTGCCAAAGCTATGGTTGTTTATTAGATGAAATTGAATAGGATCCTCGGGCAGAAACCTATCCATTAAGGGCCACTTTAATAGATATCCCCAAACTGCTGGCTCAATAAACAAACAAAAAATCCTTCAGATAAATATTCAAGTTAACTTTTAAAATTCATCTCATTAAAATCTGATTTTGCCAAAGATGTTACTGGCTTTTTAAATATGAACTTTTGGCATCCCAGGCGCAGAAAGGAGCTGATCTTTAAAATTCTTAAAGAAGAGAGCGTTAATGTTTGGATAATGAACAAACTTTCTGGAAAGCCTGAATAAATGCAATGTTGGTAATAGACATTGATAAAAAGTGCAATCCAAAAATGGTCTCCCCTTCGCGCCTAGGTACACATTCCCCTTCCCCCCCCCCTCCCCCCCACTACACCCACACACACACTTTTCTCTCAAGTCCTCAACTTTAAACTCATTCTTATCAAATGTCCCACCATCTTTTTACAATGAACTGTACTTTCAAAACAAAAAAAATTTCAACACATTCTATTTCCTTAAATTTAGAGAGCATGATGCTACCAATAGTTTTCAAAAAGTTCAATGGAATGTATCTTTAAAAGTAAAAAAAGCAACAAAACACCTTCTATTGATTGACACTTATTTGAAAGAGCACCACTCTGAATAAAGGCTTACTGACAATATGTACACCAAAAATAAATTATCTTGGACACCCAGATTTCTTCACAGCATTTTCAAGCTGTTTGAGAATATTATTTTCCCTTTACTCTAAACATTTCACTTTTTTTTTTTTTGAAATTTAAGTTTTTTGATTAAAGGGATTTTGACCAAAATGTTCCAGGAACCACGTACAGGTCAGGCGGTATGACTGTGTCAAACAGTTGCGATACATTGGCTTTCTTGTTATAAAATAGCAAATTAAAATACAAATATAATCATACCGAGCTTTAAGTAGTAGATATGAAATGGTCAAACATATGAATACAACTTCACCTGTAATACCTTGAATATGGCATCACAAGGAGTATTTCCAAGACCAGGGGTCAAAAATTTTTTTCACGGCGGGCTGAATAACGGAAAAAAATTATGAGCGCGGGCCAAATAGTCATTCTGTACAATACTTGCGCGACAGAACGAAAGCTCTTGGAAAAAAGACGAAAAACTAAGTTTAGTATTCCATGTTAATCATGGGTTAGTGGCGTGCAATGCAAAAAAAGCAATGACACCCAACATATTTATTTACTAAAAAAGTTAGCAAAGAAGGCTACGTTAGCAAAAAGATAGTTACATCAGACCTAGTGCGCACGTATTCGAATCTCACAGACTACCCAGCAAAAAAGGTTAATGAGATTTGTGAAACTGACCTTTGGTTGGCTTTCAAAACATTAGAAATATTTTCTTTGGAATTGCTGCATCCATTCAAAAGAATTGTTTTCAAATGTTAATCAATCTCTCTTGTTCGATGGGTTGACTCAACACACTTTATTTTTGAAAATGTTTGCCTCACAGACATAAGTTATTCCATGCATTTTTCTGCTCTCCGCACTAATGAACTGGCCGAAGGAATGTTAGTTCCAACCGTGGCCACTATGATTTTTAATGTCCCCCTTTTGTTTCCAACACTCCTCTTTCTTTCCACCATTTACAGTTTGCAGTAGTTATCAGACTATAATATATTAGTGGGAATAGGCTTAATGGAAAATTATTCTTATTTTATAGTTTTTTTAAAAACCAGCTTTTCTTGAAAACAACAACCTAAAGGTACTTGATAGGTTTTTTACATGATGTCATCATTTGTTAATTAATTCTTATTGAAATACATTTTAATTTATGCTGATCTGAGTTCTAGTTTGAACCATGTTAAATTTCACCAGTAACTTTATCTTTACCAGTGACGGACTGTGATAATGTGATCTGTAGGCCCACGCAATATAAATTAATATATATGGGAAATACATGTCTTCAAAACAAACTGAACGCAGATTGTGTCTATTGCCTCAAGCCTTCAAACCCCTAGTGCATGACTCCCTCACAAAGTGGCACTGGAAATCAGTGAAATTTCCTCATCAACACCATGAACAGAAACATTGCAAATCCCATCTATATGCATAGGAGCCAAAATGATCAGTAAATTGATCGTGGGTCCTTAAGATATAGAAGAAGATTGCAATATAAATGTCAGTCATCTACTTTTAGTAATTAACTTTTTTGACGCCAGCTTAACTTGCTCCCACTAGGCACTGCGATGCGAGTAGTTATTGTATTCATTTTACATACTGAATGTTTATTTATTTACTAGTATTGTACGATTTTAGGATTTCTGGGTTAACAGGTCTGTAATAAACACAATAATTTAAAATTAAAAATGGTAAATTAAGGTGCATATCAGCCAGGAGGTCTCTGCAGGTGTGAAGATCTCCTAGTTTTCTAAACATAATATTTAAATGTAAATTGTATCACAGCATCTCGTATTCCATACGTTTTATCAAGCAAGTTCAAGTACCGTCGGGCGGGCCGGATGAACTGGCCTCGCGGGCCAGATCAAGCCCGTGGGCTGTAGTTTGGTGACCCCTGTCCAAGACAGGTGAAAGTGAAATTTTTGTAATATATCAAAGAAACTATTAAAATAAATGAAGTGCTCGCAGGATGAGCTACATCCTTGAAGGGCAGTGATGCATTAAATTACTTTTTCATTTGTTGACCAGATGGGATTAGATAGAAATGATTCTGCATCCAAAATGAAAACAGGATCTCTGGCTTAAAATATTCAACAAGAACAAGTTTAACAAAGCCTACCTGCACAGGGGGCAACAGGGAAATAATGCCTGGCCAGGTAAGTAAATCTTGGGGCGTGATCTCGCAGGGTACAGGAAGAGGGTTCTTCAGCAGCTGCCTGATGGTGTATTTCAGAGTCTGTGCAAAATAGTTTATTTTTTATGCTTTTTGAAAAGAATTTTTTTTAAACATAATTTCTTTCTTCCATGGCTGCATAGAAATTGGATGCATCATTTTTCTCTTTCTTTAACTTCAGCTATGCAAAGAAAATAATTCTTCCTTTAACGTCAAGATTTATGTTAAATATTCACAATTCAGATTAATTTTTATTTTACTTTCTTTCAGGATTTATTTGGGATAATTACACATTTGCCAATATATAAATTCATTTGTATTTATATTATTTATTTGTTTACTGACCAACCTATCCCCATGTATTACTTACAAGCTCATTGACGCTGTGTTTTTCAGAAGAGGTTATCATCAGCTGTTTGCCAACAGTGGTAGGCGGTGTGAACGGTTTGTTGTAGATGGCATACAAATGGGGCAACCTCAGCAAGCGTTCCAATTCTACGTTTGGATTAACTATTTTGCCTGATTTATTGAGTTAGGGAGACAGGATTTTGAGGTGGATGGTCAATAATATATCATATGTGGATAAAAATAACTCACTGGAAATTATTTAATACTGAAACAACAAATGTATGAAATTCCGTGGTATCAAAATATAAGTGACCAAAGAGAAGTTTTTTTAACAGAACATAGGCCTACAATTCAGTGAGACAAAGGTAAAGGATACGATGATCTAAGACACTGATCTCTTTCATATCACGAAACACAGTGATGCGGCCCCGCACTTGTATGAGATCACCTAGGTTGTAGCCTTCCTCTGTATTTGAAAGGTGGCAGGACAGTATTTCGTCATACTTCTCTTGGAGAGACAGGGGCAGGCTACTGGAAAAAACGTTTGGCTCAAGAGCTGAGAACAAAACATAAACATATTATCATTTGAAAGTAGCAGCTTGCTTTATCTGGACACAGAAGAAAGAAACTAGATGATTCAATTATAGCAAAATATTCATTGGAGTTTACATAGCATGTCTAAATAATGAAGATTACAGACATATAACTGAAACTTGATTTAGGACAGATGTATGCATGGGGTGATTTAGCTAAAACCGTTTATAAACTAAAGTCCCGATTCTTAGCTGCCAGTTTGGTGTTAGGTGAAAGAGGCTTCTCTCGAAGCATGAATAAAATTTGAGTGTTCGCATATTGCAATCAAGTTTACAAATCAGTTTTAAAAGGGCAAGTGAATGAAATAATCTCAGCTGCTCTCACCACTGCTTGGATTTTTCCAGCAAGTGCAGCCAATAACTCCAGTGCCATCATCAACTAGAAAATATAGTTAGGTTGATTCAATGTTAGCATTTTTTTTGTTGTTTTTTTTACTTTCTCTATATTACAAGTTCATTGCATAATGTAATTTGCACATTTATACATCTAACATCATGAGTTGTTTCATAGTTTCTCTTACTGCTTTTAAATATGTTTAAATGAGATCTACAATCGTAAAAAGAGATTTCTAAATATACTTTCATCTATTCTAGATCATTTATATTTTATTTCTAAAAAATTAAATTATTAATTTCCCCAAAAATGGGCGCTACATAAATATTAATTTACCATTATTTTATGAAATAATTTTATTTATTTTCTATCTAACTTACTGGCATATGAGTTGCATTTTTCTCTTCTGTCCACTCGCACTACAACACCCATTACTTCCACTCTGTTTATTAAATGATTTTTGAAGCAAAATATTCCTGTAAAATTTAGAACAATAAAAAATAATAATACATGCTAATTAATACACAAACATAGTATGACAAACTTCATTCACTTGTATTTCAAAAAATTTTTACTTGCATCCGTCCGTCACAATGTGATAATGGTGTAGATTTCGCAGGATGAAATCCACAAAGCCTGGGATTATTCTTTTTTAGGATTATAAACTGGTTTATCATATATGGATGATACAGCTTGGCACCAGAGGCATTGAAGGCGTTTTCAGCATGTTTCATTGTGTCAATGTTATCCCCCTATGGGATTCCATCGCTGGGTTTAAATTCAGAGTTTCCTTCTCTTAGATGAGTTGCCATCCAAAGTTCAGGAGTCCCACTGGGCTTTAGTGGGGATTGAACTCCAGACCATGAACTTGAGATTTAGATCGGTTTAGACTATTAGACCATCCAGCAAAATATATCTATTTTAATTAGCTACAATAAACATGTTTTAAAAAAAATTAAAAATTATTACATTTTAATGTAACATTTATTTTTTTATTAAACTTATATAGATTCAAATATAAATAAACATGAATATAAATGAAAAAGAATTTTTTTAGGATAGCAAAAGAGATAAAGTAGTTGTAAGTTGCTGAACTTACCTGTTACTCCAACAGCTTGGTGAGTAATGAGACTCTGACTTTGGAAAATATCTTTCACAGTAAGTTTTAAACACGTTTTAAAAAGTGGATCTAAACCAGCTATCTTTAAGTCGATAATGGAATATGAATCTTTGCAGCTGGTCCTTGTGGTATCACTAGCCCTTTCTGAATCCATTGCCATGATAATATCACTTTAACTTTAAAAAGTGTAAGAATTATTTTTCACTTGCAGTAACTTGCAGATATGATTTGCTTCAAAAACAGACTAGTCCTGGTGAAATTTAATAAAATCTTAGACTAAGTCTAAGGATTTGTAGTAGTAGTAGCTATCAGCAGGTTTTCCTACAATTATATCATTATATGTTTAATTAAAGTTTAATAATAAATAAATAAATAATGGATTTAGTAACTAAATTAACGTCATTTAAAAAGGAATTTTTGAACTCATTTTGATTCTTCCACTTTGTATTTTGTCTGACAGAAATTTGAAGGAATAAGTGAAGGAAAAAAATCATCCCGACCGATATTAAAATTTTTTACGCCTATACTTCAATATAATTACCCATGCCATAACTTGACATTTTCTGATATAAATTTTGCTTCTATCTCAATTTTCAATGAATGAATCTTTAACTAACTTAAATCTGTTCTTTACTTTACCAGACCAGAGGAGGTAAGTTGCAGTTGTATGAAATCACTAGGTAGCCTAAATCATTGATGACTACCAAATGAAATGATCCATATAGGCTTACATTTCATTAATAGAAAATAAAGCGAGAACTGACAATTAAAATTACCTTTCCTAATTCACGGGTTATATATTTATTTTATTATCGTACTTCCAAACTTTGGATTTATATTTTTAGATTTATTAAATAAATAAAAATCACAACCAAGAAATACCGTAAAATAAACAATTTTAATCCCCTTATTATTATTACTATTTTTTTATTTTTCTCAAAAATATAATTAAAAATACTTTATGAACCCAATGATAATTTTGAATACCGGTATTCATTTTAAAATTATATAAATTTAGAACATGAGTCTGTAAATGTAAACATATAATTGATTTGAGATTTGAATAGGTTTCAATCTCAATATCAGTATCAGGCATGTCAACTGGGTTTCTTTCAGCTATAATCTCCGGGTGTTAAAAGATTTCTAGGTCTCAAAATAGTTAAAATGAGCATATTTCACTAAACAGTTTCCGGCGGAGGCCACCGGACCCCTCTTTAGCTGGATGGTACGCCACCCCCCCCCCCCAACTCTCCTTGTGTGTGTCCCGTTTTTTTCCAGTTCATGATTTGGTCACTGTACCCGAATTCTAAAAATTGGAGTGGCTATAGGTACCCGGGTACCTATAGCAGCATTTGGCTATTTGGAACTGGTTGGTCACGTGACGGTTATGACGAATACTTCCTGTTATTGCCATCTTCGAGCCTTCGAGCCATTATTGTCAATCGAGCAATGTGCCATATTTTGAAGACTTCTCATCTAGCGTTAAAGTTAAAGAAACACGAAGAACATTATGACGTACAGCTAAAAGCAAGTAAGAATACGTTTATGTTTATAATTTGATTGTATTTTTTAATTCTATTTTAAATATAGTTCTATTATCATAACATGACATCAACCAAGATTCAAGATCAAAGTTTCCTTTTTTTGGCGGCAATCGGCTACTGTCTTTATCTGTAATTGTAATGAAAAGTTTGGCTGCGGCTATTCGGACCCGGTATCAGAAGTGGACACTTCAATTTAATTCACCGCAAAAATTATTCTTATTCACATACCCATAAAACAAATGTTCTTTTGAATCAAAAAAATTCAGAGAGATCAGCCCGTGGCAGCCATCTTTGTTATCGTGACCCACGAACTTATGTCCTAACTAAATGTATCCCTAAACCTAACATGAACCCTAAATGTATCCCTAAACCTGATCAATCTGAATTAGCCTAAAAAACTTTTAATTCCCAAATTATTATACATTATTTCACATTTCCATTAAAACACTTCACATTTCCAATAAAACAAATGTTATTTTGAATAAAAACATACTTACTTCTTTAAAGGTCTTCCGCTACTGTAGTGGCCAAAATTGAACAATATCGTCTAGAATGGTTTTGAAGACATAAAAAAACCATTTACTTTAACACGTTGATGCCACATGTCCACATGAATACACATATACAAATGGAGCAATGTCTGTGTGCCATTGTGGCGCTTGTTTCTCTCTTTTGCAGATTTCCATTAACGTTCGATGCTTTGGGTATTGGCTATTGGCACCTGAGTTTGGATCCAAAAACTGAACAGAATGAATGACCGTTTGATGAGTCAATCCCGGAGTGGTGCCAATTGCATTATATGCTATCCATTGATCTGACATGACTGTTGTACCCAGCAGGATGAGTGCTGTGAATATCGGCATAAGTGTAATGTGTAGCTGCTGATCTATCTTGTACACAAAACATGAAACACTCACTAATCTCCTGACAAATGCCTCCGAAAACCCATTGTTGTGGCAAAACTCGCCCAACATGTTTTTTTCTGCATGTAAACAGACTCGTTGATTTCGACTGAGAATAAACATGACTTACCTGTGTAAATTATGTGAATTTTTTGATGGATGAAGCATGAATGGATCCTAACTCATGTGTTTTGGGAAATGTCCTTTAGACACCCCTGGCACAGAGTTCTACTCCTTTTCCTGCCCTCGGGGTACTTTTCGGTTGCTTCAGACAGAGCAGTCCTTTTCACCATTGTGCATCCAACTATGGTTTATTTGAGCTGGGTGTTACTCAGAAAGTTGTCTGCATACTTATTAGTTATTATTATTATTCTCTCACACAAACATTTTAATGATATATTGTGTAAAAATTAGCATAAGTACTCAAATGGGGTGCTTATCCCATGAGGCATATTTAAAGGCTCTATTTTTTTCTAAAAATTCATAGGGGTCATCTCTATCCAATTCAGAACCCCTAATCCTAATCAAAGGATTCACAACATTATCGTAAACATAATCGTTTTGATTGTCTTTTTTGATCGTTTTCGTCAGTGTCAGATTCACTGCTAGACGAGAGATCAAGAGGGTTACGTCCCAAGAGGGTTAATGAAAAAGCTTTGGGTGACCAGCTCTCCTACCAGCAATGGTGCTAGTACATGAATTTCAAATACCCTAATCCAGAGTTTCCCCAAGCGTTTTGGAGTCACAGCACCGTTGCTGCACCCACGTCTTTTCAATTTTGCTCTAAGCCACATTCTTTGTGCACTGTAAAGTAGCACTTTTTAAATAATCTAATCCATTTTTGAAACCTTATACTTATACAAGAAGACATACCTCATTAACTTCACTTGACTCTATCTAAACAATATTTAATTGATACAGCATAGACGCTGCACAAAACCAACTGCTACTTTAATAAAGACAGAGTACCAAGTAGGTTGGAGAACTAGTGAAAAATACCGACTTAATTATAAATGGCTTGCATTTCCATTAATTTTTTAACACTTCAGGTTGCAGCAGGACACAGTCTGGGAGCCTCTGTCCTAGTCAATTACATGCCATAATAAACACATATCTTTACATTTTCTCTTAACACCTAGCATCATCCTAATCCCCCTTCCAATAATAAATATTAGTATCTTGATCCTTTGAATGCACTTTATATAAAGATAAATCCCGCAAGTGCATGTAAAAAATATCAAAAGACTGTATTGGAATGGTTAGTTTCACTGATTAGTTTAGGGTAAAGTCTTGCACATTCCTAATTTAGTTTAAATTAGATACAAATCCCTAAAAAAATCTAAATTTCCTTCTGACATATTGAGTGCATTTTTGCTGTAAAAGAAATAATTAAAAAATGCAAAAGAGCTATTTAGATGGATTGCTTCTTATATTTAGATTCATCAGTCGCTATAGCATATATTTTTTTGGTTAAAATCATAGTAGTAATAATCAAGAGTTACATCTTGCAGGTTAGAATTATATTACCATTGATCTATGACAAAAAAATCTTATTTAAATTTTTAAAGATTCACTACTGTAATGCAGTTGTAGTTAAAATCTTGCGCTGAGCTTGACGTGACCATTTTGAAGGTTTTCTTTTGTTCATTTAACACCACCTCCCTAATTCCAATAGTGGTTGGACTTTAACTATTTAATAGATTAAATAAACAAAGCTATTGAACTTTCCCATAGAAAACCAGGAATTTTTTGTCGAAACACCCATGCAAACATGGCTGGTGTAAAAGCAATGATTACATCAAGTGTGTGATTAATTTTTTTGGTACTTTTTATGATGGTAACTTTCAGGATAGAATAGTTCATAGG